GCATAAGAAAACTTAATAGAAATCATTACATCTTTTCTTTGTTAAAAGAGATTCACACTAAATCATATAAGGATGAAAGAAAGAATTCAAGAAATCAAATTTACATATTTATATGATTTAATCCGTGTAAGTTAATTATTGAGTTGACTCAATGAAAAATTTCCCCCCTCTTTTTAGTCAAATATACCTTTAATATTAAGACGATTTGACATTTTTATAGAGAAACATGATTATTTTTATAAAAAAAATGACTTATAGTGTATAAATATTGGCTTAAACATACTATTTATTCATGAGGAGTGACGTTTCAACTCCAAAAATTCAAATTGACTCTTGTAAAATTTTAGATAAAAATTGAAATTTAAATAAGCAAATTTGATTCTAAGAATAAGCATAATTTACTTTATAAGCATATGTGTTATCATAATCTCAATCCTTAAGTTGTAACCAAAAAATTATGTCAATCCTTAATTTTTTAAATAATAGTTATGAATACAATTTATTCTTCAAAATGTCTTTCGTAGTTTAGAGCATCTGAGTCCAAATCAACATGGCATTAGGTCGAGTTCGAGTCTTATAAATAAATAAAAAACTGTGATTGAAAGAAAAGAAGCTGGTGAATATTTTGCACTAATATCACAGTAACAAAAAAGAACCCAAAAGTATAAGGAAAAAATAAGGCTACAAATTTAGGTATTTATTTCGATGAGTAATTTAAAAATTGTAAAGTTATCTAACATATTTATCATATGTAAGATTCAGGTTCGGATCCACTCAAGTAACAATTTTATTGAGTAAAATTTCAACCCTTAATTAAAAACAAGAAAAAGAGATTTTCATGAGTATTGGATTGAAATTTTAAAATAGTAGTCAAATAGTAGATTTCTAGCCTAGATATTAATTGTTGTTTTATTCTTTTTGGAGCCATTTTTAAGAAGTTGGAGCATTAAAACCATTTTAACACTTTTAAATTTGAGTAACAATTTTTAATGTGATCTATCATTTCAATTATATATTTTTATTCACAAAACTCAAATTTAAATAATAAAAAAAATTGAGTCTTATTATCTTACGACCAACATGTTAAATGAGTCTTTGATCTATGTTTTGGAACTAAATGTTTAGAAGATAATTTAATAAACTTTAAAATTAAATTTTTGAAAATACAAATTTTGAAATTAAATCATAAAAAAATAGTTTATGAATCACTTCCAATCACGTAGAATAATAAAAAAAATCATTTCCAAACATTTTTTTAGAAGAATCATTTTCAAATGTTAAACTAATATAATTTTAAATTTTAAAATAATTACTCTCTTCATATCTATACCTATTAATAAAGGGGATTGGAGTATGTAAACATTTTTTGCCTCCACTTTTTAGTGGATCATTATACCCCTTATATGTAAAAGAATTTTTTTTATATTATATCTAAATAATTATCTATAATCTTCTAATATCTTGTCTGTGTGTAATTATTAGAGATACGAAGTGTCTCGACTCTTCTAGTTATAATAAATGTCATATTTGAAGAAAATTAAGTCTCATTTTTCATTTTCCTATTTATACCCGTCATATATTCTTTAGAAAATGATTTTATATTATATTTTTTTTGAAAATTAATTATAAGATTGATTTTTTAAAATTATTTTTTTATCTATTAATTTATCTTTTAAATAATTTAAGACGAGATTTAAAATGTATGAAATGGAGTATAAAATGAAAAAAGAAGAAAAAACGTCTAGAATCAGTTCACTGATTCAGGCACTACACATTGGGCCTATTGTGGGTTTTGCATCTACAATAAGCCCAGGCCCATAGAAAAGAAGCAGTTCCTTTTTTCGGATTCGGGTTTCATTTCCATTTTGGATCTTTGAATGATCTAAACTAAACCAAGTGCTGTTACCAAGCTTCGAGTTCAGAGTTCGACGCATCGTAGCATCGAAACAACGGCGGCAGAAACCATCGCTCGACACCGGAGACACCGTTCTTTTCCCATTGATTTTATCCAAGTGTAAGTCTTCGCTTCTCCCTTTGATTTATTCAGGTAGCACACGCTTTCTTAATACTTTCTCCATTGTATAAGAAGTTTAGGTTTTTGGGGTAATATATATATGATATTTTTGTTGTTTTTTTTTATTATTAATTTTGTTGACTCTTTTTCTCTATTTTTAAGGGTTTTGTGGCGTTTAATTTTAAACACGGTTTATGAGTCTAGACACCTAATTTCGTTCAGAGTATACAAACAAGGAAATGGACATCTAGCAAGAAGAAAAGCAGCTCCCGAAGGACTAGAAATGGCAAGATATGGTATCAGAAGGCCTAAAGCCCAATAAAGACTGATTTAGTAGCCCAGTGGCTTCCCCTGTTTGTGTAACTAGAACCACCCATCTAAATAGATTTTTCCAGCGACACCCATCCTTCACCCTTCTCTATGTCGCGTCTCTGGTTACAGCTTCTATTAATTGTTTCAAACTTTAACAATTAAGACATTGTTTCCTTTACTTTTGTTATTCACTTGTAAATTTCACTTTAAAAATATGACTTTTAAATTGTTAATCATGAGCATGTCATGAATTTTACATAGTTTACCTAATTTTTGAGCTTTTATATGTATATAGTATAAATATAAATATAAATAAACGTAAATGATATAATCTGAATAAAAAATATCACAATAGCAGCCAAACTGCTGTGTTTCACCACTATAGCATTTTTGGCGACAGCCACTATGCGCCAAGATTGATAACTACGCACAAAATGTCCTTCAGTTAAAACTTTATTTCTTCCCCTGAAGAACCTAAAGTGAGACAAAGCTATATAAACGTAAATAACCAACTAGTTCTACAATTTACATAGAGAAATACACCGAAGAGCATAAATTTTATCATGAAATCAATCTGACAGGATAATAGCACATCCTCAATTTCTGTGTCACTAGTTATGTCAGATTCATATATCACTCCGAGAGTAGGCAATTACTGATTAGTAGTAATTCCTTCTCCCACCACAGTCTAATTCCAAGAAAACAACCAACAAAGCGAGTATAGGGAAAAATTGTTCAATTAAGAATACCCAACCAAAGACAATGGGAAAGTTTATATCGAATGCATGCAGTGTTAGGATAAAGAGGTAAACTAACCACACACACTTTTAATTCTAGGACCAACATTCAGTTCAACCCTACTTTTCGAGAAATCACAAAACCTTAAAGAAACATTCTTCAAACTTCTGGAAAGCACAATTCATTTTATCTAGAATCTTAACAGAAAATCCATGAACACCCCCACTTCCCCCACCCACCCCCAAACAGAATCAATAGACCAAAAAATCCAAACTTGGTGCAAAGGGGTGTCAGAAAAAGTCCTTTTGCTTGCAACCCTCAACAAGCACCCCAAATCAAAAAATCAAAGAACATGACATAACCAATTCCACACATACAAAAAAGAGAAAAGCAGTTAAATGAGAGAGAAAAAGGGGGTACCAGTTGTCTGGATTGAAGGGTTATGGGAAGAACAAGCTTGTTGAAACACGGGCGAGGCTTAGTGTGAGAGTGAGAGTGATTGGAGAACCAGAACAGTAGAAGAAGGTTCAGAGCATCTCTTGAAAACCCTTTTGATTGAAAAAAAATGAAAACTTTGGGAGAATTTGCTTCACACTCAGATCTACTCACTCTTCACCTTCTTCTCCACCCTTCCCTGCTTTTGAGTCAAACAAGGATTTTTAAACCTTAAAAAACCCCAACCTGTGACCTAATTAAAAGCACACGAGTGCGCCACTCGCCCGAGTCAACTCAATTCTGCTTTCACCAATTTATTGACGTTTATTACATATAAATTATGAATGTGAACAAAATAATAAATAGACAAGTTTTGGAATAAAAGCTTCTGATGCTCCACCTTTGCCTTCTGACAGGTCAGACAGACTGCCACATATTCAACTATGTCTCTCTTCATACCAAACCACTAGAAAGTCTTCTTGAGGTCTTGGTACATCTTAGTCATACTCGGATATATGCTAAGCCTACTCTTGTGACCTTCCTCCAACACAACTTTCTTCAGCTCAACATCATGAGGTAGGCAAATTTTGCCCTTAAACCTCAAGATCCCATCTCCACCCAGTTCAAAACCAACAGCCCTCTCGGTACCCAGCAAGCCAAGAAGCTTCACCAGCTCAACATCTTGTAACTGTTTCAGTCCAACCTGCCTCAAGAACTCAATAGTTATGGTAATCATCCCACAACTAATGTGATCCTGAGCTAACTCCACACAGAGGTTCAGATCTCTGAATTCCTCCACCAGCTCCAGCTTTTTCACCATCATATTAGACATGTGGATGGATTTCCTACTTAGCGCATCTGCCACAACATTGGCTTTCCCAGGATGATACATCAACTGGAAATCATAATCCTTAAGAAATTCTATCCACCGCCTCTGCCTCATGTTCAGCTTCTTCTGATCAAACAGGTACTTCAGACTCTTGTGATCACTGAAGATGCTAAACCGAGCACCATACAAATAATGCCTCCATATCTTCAAGGCAAAAACAACTGCCGCCAACTCCAAGTCATGAATGGGATAATTCCTCTCATGGTTCTTCAGTTGCCTTGAAGCATATGCCACTACTTTCCTATTTTGCATCAACACACACCCCAGACGCTAGTGAGAAGCATCACAATACACATCAAACGGCTCGCTAGAGTCGGGCAATACCAGCACAAGAGAAGTAGTCAACCTCCTCTTCAGCTCATCAAAACTCTGCTCACAGGCATCAGTCCAAATGAACGACTGCTCCTTCCTTGTCAATTGGGTTAGAGGCACTACTATCTTGGAGAATCCCTCAATGAACCTTCGATAGTAACCTGCTAGACCCACAAAACTCTGAATATCAGTGACAGTTCTTGGACGCTCCCACTGCAATACCGACTCCACCTTAGCTGGATCAACAACAATCCCCTCAGCTGAAATCACATGTCCCAAGAACTTCACCTCTTCCAACCAGAACTCACATTTTGAAAGCTTGGCATACAACTGCTTCGCCTTCAAAATCTCTAGCACCAATCTCAAGTGCTCTCCATGCTCCTCCGGGGTCCTTGAATAAATAAGGATGTCGTCAATGAACACCACCACAAATTTATCCAAGAAGGGCGGGAAGATCTTGTTCATGTAATCCATGAACACTGTCGGGGCGTTGGTCACACCAAACGGCATCACAACATACTCATAGTGACCATACCTAGTCCTGAAAGCGGTCTTAGGTATGTCACCCTCTTTCACCCTGATCTGGTGATATCCTGACCTCAAGTCAATCTTAGAAAATACCGATGCTCCCCTCAGTTGATCCATTAAGTCATCTATCCGGGGAAGTGGATATTTGTTCTTAATGGTCAACTTGTTCAACTGCCGGTAATCAACACACATTCGACTACCTCCATCTTTCTTCTTCACCAACAACACGGGAGCACCCCACGGAGATACACTCGGCCGCACCAACTACTTCTCCAACAAGTCATCCAACTGACCTTTCAGCTCAATCAACTCAACTGGGGCCATCCTATAGGGAGCCATCGACACTGGCCCCGCGCCTGAAACCAAGTCAATGCTGAACTCCATCTCCCTAGTAGGAGGCAACCATGGCACCTCATCAGGAAACACCTAAGCAAAATCCCTCACCACATCTATCTCAACAATGGCCCTCTCGGTCTTCACACTCATAGCAGCAAGCAGAATACAACACTCTGCTCCATCCCTCAATAATGATTCAGCTTGGCTAGCTGAAATCAACAGCTCATCCTCCACCTGAAGAAAGATCAACCACCTATTGGCACAATCTATAAGGATGCGATTGGCAGACAACCAATCCATCCCTAAGATTATGTCAATGTCCACCAAAGGAAAACAAATCAAGTTTACTTTAGACTTCTTCCCATTCACAATAATTAACAAAGAAATCAGCACAGCAATCAACACAACACAAAGCTCAGCACAACAACAGCCTAAAGGAACCACCCCCACAGAGTGTCCACTAGACTCGAACTGCTCTGATACCACTAAAGTATAACAACCCGCCTAGCTGTCACACAACAAACAACACCAGCACCATGTAGAATAGTACATACATATATCCAAATAAAGTATATACAATATGTCTAGCCTAGGGCTTAAAAAAAATCAAAGTACAAAATACAGCCCAATTGCTACCCTAAGTAGCTAAAACAGCAAAATATCAAAATACATCATCTGCATCTGTCAGCTACAGACCTGCCTCAAGACACCAACCTATCCCTACTTTGCTCCCACACATAGTATGGTCATTGCAGTGCAAACCACATGGAAACAACAAAGGGTAAGCTAGTGAAAAGAATCAACATATATAGATATACAAGTACGTCAATTATAAACAATTTCAGCTTATCAGCACATCAATCTAATTCAACAAGATCAACACACAACATAGCAATATACAACTCACATCATTCAGCCAAAAACAATATTAAACAAACAATGCGTCGTCACGCATACTAGCTCGGAGATCTCCTACAACAGCTCAGCCTTACGGCCTACAACAGCTCAGCCTTACGACTTACAACACCTCAGCCTTACGACCTACAACAGCTCAGCCTTTCGGCCTACAACAGCTCAACCTTACGGCCTACAACAGCTAAGCCTTTCAGCCTACAACAACTCAGCTTTTTGGCCTACAATAGCTTAGCCTTACAGCCTACAACAGTTTATATCAGCATGTAGCACAACACAACATAACAGCAATAACAACATACAACATAGCTCAACATTATACAGCACAGCTTAAACATCATAATTCAGCATAAACATCTCACAACACAACTCATCATCAATTAGCTCAACAACATTCATCATCAATAGCTTAAATCAGCATACAATTCAGCTCGGCTCAACAACAAAATTCAGCATTAGCATCATACAGCACAGCTCAGCGTTACATCATTAACAACATAAACAACATAAACAACATTCGGCAGAGCTTAGCTTAACAGCAATAACAACTCAAAAAACATACAACACAACTCAACTTTTCATCATACGACATTAACAACATTAATCAGCATAAACAACATTATTAACAGCATAATCAACAACTTTACAACATACAACATATTCAACACATAATACGAATCACCCATCTTGTTTACATAAAACATATTATCAGGAGTTATACTACTCCTACCATGCTCATTCTTATCTCATATGAAAGATAGGACGATTTCCTACAACTCTCATGAAGACACCAAGTCCTAATTCCTTCATCTACCTTGTTAAAAATTCTAAAAACCCCAATAGCTATAACCAATGCTAACAGCTTGATCCCTCTTCACTAAAATAGTCATATCTGGAGTTCTAGAACTCCTTTTTGGGTGATTCCAACGCCATTGGAAAGCTAAGATCCAAGGATACAACTTTCATGAATACACTGAGACCAAATTCGGTCATCAAGACCCACCGCTGCAGCGCTCAATTCAGAGCTTTAGCTTGAACTCCCTGCCAGTTCAGTTTCCCTTCCACAGCCATGGCTGCAAATCCACGGCCATAGCTGCAAGTTTCTGCCATTCAAATTTTTTTCCACAGCTATGGCTGCAAAACCACAGCCATGGCTTCAAGTCTCTGCCCTCACGTTTTTCCCCTCCCACAGCTATGGCTGTGAATCCACGATTATAGCTGTGGGTTTCTGAAACTCCTAAAACACCATGGATTTCACCTTCATTTTCACTCAAATCCTCCATGAACTTGCAATCCCAGGAGACTCAATCCATGCTACAACTCAAATGCACTCCTACCAACAACATGCAACCCAAAAACATCAAGAATCACAACATGCATGCACCAAGATTCAAGAGATCATCAAGAACAACCACAAGGTTTCAGCTTTACCACATGCAACCAACCCAGCTCAATTAATCAACCCCCAAATCACATCCTAGATGAAGATCCAACTACATGCAAGCCAAAATGTATGATAATTCGAGTTCTAGCTCCCCTTACCTCAGTGAAGAGAAATTCTGGGTTTCGGGAAGGAGAAAAGGAGAAGAAGATGAAGAAGAAGCTTGAAATGGACAGAATCCGCGCCTCTGCAAGCTCCCAAACACGTACTCAGCACCACCACCTAAAGGTTTCAAAGAATCAAACCAAAGGCAAAGAGAGAACAAAGCAAATTGAGAGGAAGTGAAATGGTAGTGAGGAGAGGAAGTGAAGAATGTTGGGGAAGAAAAAGGAAAATGGAAGTGGGGTCTCACACCATGAGCCCCATTGCCATCCCTAATCCTAATCATGTGTAAAATTGAGGTGCGAAACAGTTGTTTCAGTGTTGGGAATGGTCGTTCCCTTTCCTTGAACGCCTATATAAGCGTGCATAGGGCTCATTCTTTAACACACCTGTCAGATTTGAATTTCCCTCTCTTTTTGTAAATTTTTGAGTGACTGTGAGGCTTTTGCAGAGTGAAAGGCTGCCAAAATCTGCCCTTGTACGCATTTTCGAAGATTCTTCTATAAAAAGCTTGCTATAGAGGTTTTTATTCTCTATCTTCTTCCTCTTACTTTTTATTTGCTTTATTCACAACCCTATTCCCATGCAATAAATAAATAAATAATCATGTAGATAATAAGTGTTTAAATGTCTAAAAGGGGTAAAAATTTAATTATAATTGTTATTATGCTAAATTTATCATACGGTATCGAGTTAGGATGTTGTGTGGTGCTTAATACCTTCATCACACGTAATCAACCTGTGAACCTGATTCTAGCTATGAAGGCTATAATTAATTTTGAAAATTCTTTTCTTTTTCTGATATTTGAGTAAAATATCAGTGGCGACTCCTTCAAACCTTTTCAAAAACCATCGATGAAAGATTAGTCGGATCTTAGGGCATTCTAAAGCCAATGTGATAAAGCCCAAGCTGTTGGTGGGCCTCTTGACAGTTTTCCCTAGTATGACAATAGGGCTCCCAAGGAACGGAAGGTCTATACACGTAGGAAAAAGAGAGATGGGTATAGAACAAAAGAGGCAGAGTAGTTAGAAGAGAGAGAAAATAAGATATTTTCGGTTATTTAGTAGCATGAGCTAGAGAGAGGGAATTAGACTGTAATCATTTGTTTTTACAACAGGGTAGAGAAAACCTTGAGGGTTACTCTATTAGGAGCACTACTTTGGGCAGGAGGAGACCACCTTTCTTGTATTTCCTTTTCTGGTATTAATATAATTCAGTTTCCAGTATTTCTTTCATTTAGTGTTATTCTCTTCTTTGAGTTTGGGGTTCCATCATTTTTGGTCTGACCTGTCAGATATTCTCTTGTGTAGTGAATGCAACCCAATAGGAGAGGAGGAAAAGGAGTATTAGCGATAATGAAGCGCAGTTGGGAAATGTAAAGGGTGAGCTGGGTTGGGTAATGACGGTGATAAAAGAACTTCGCAACCAAGCTATGCAGCACCAATCTACGATGGAGTTATTACGGAAATAATCAGAACAGTAAACAAAGATGATAGAGATGATGCCTTGAAGCCTTGAGAAGATTCACTTCCATGAAGAAGGTGAAGGCTCTATCGGTCAACACAAGGGTTCATGAGGTCGACTAAGGACACTCGAAGGGGAAGCACTGGAGGAGTTTTGTCAATTTGTGAAAAAGATTGAACTCCCTAATGTCAATAGAGAAGACCTAGCCGGTTGGATCACGAGGGCAGAAATATACTTTCGAGTCCAGGAAACTAGCGAAACGGTGACGGTCAGCTTAGCCCAGCTATGTATGGAGGGATGAACCATACATTTTTTGAACACACTATTGAATGACCAAGGAAACCTTGATATGATTCTTCCACTGAATATTAATATGCTCGATTATATGGATAAAAAGTATACTGACAAGTAGCAGAAAAACACAAAGGAAAGAAGATTCTCCAAGTTCATGACATGAGATTGGCCCAAATAGAGAAAGAAAAGCAAAAGAAGATTTTCAGAAAAACCACCACACCCCTCCCTAAATGTCCACCCTCAATTTATATGCTATTATTCCCCTCAACATTCATTTGCAATTTCCACGTTTTGCGCTTTTCATGTGTGATGCACCTCAGCTTGCCAAATTCTGTTATTGCATCCATATCATCATATGCTGCGTGTCCCTTCTCAATATCATATTTTGTTGTACTTTTTGATCCCGTATCAATGCCCCCTCCATTAAGATTGACCTTGACCTCAAGGTCGAAAGATGGAAAGTGTTGTTGCATAAAAGATACAGACTCCCAAGTGTTGTCAGAACGAGGTAAATGAGCCCAATGAACCAAAACTTGATCAACCCAACGACCTTGTTGCTTAATTCTCCTCGAGTCGAGAATGCGGCATGGAATTGGTTGGGAATCCTCAACAGCTGTGTTTAATGACAGTGGAACATACTGC